CATTCTTCTGGTGATGCACAGAAAAAAGATTGTACTATAGTACAGCAAATATAGTGTGGGGTCAAACTAAATAATAATAATATAATAATAATAATAATAGTAGTAGTAGTAGTAGTAGTAGTAGTAGTAGTAGTAGTAGTAGTAGTAGTAGTAATAGTAATAATAATAAAGTTGGAAGGTACCTTGGAGGTCATCTAGTCCAACCCCCTGCTACACCATTTCAGACAAATGGTTGTCCAGTCTCTTCTTAAAAGCTTCCAGTGTTGGAGCATTCACAGCTTCTGGAGGCAGATTGTTCCATGATTAATTGTTCTAACTGTCAGTAAATTTCTCCTAGGTTGCTTCTCTCTTTGGTTAGTTTCCATCCGTTGCTTCTTGTCCTGTCTTCAGGTGCTTTGGAAAATAGTTTAGCTCCCTCTTCTTTGTGGCAACCCCCGAGATATTGGAACACTGCTATCATGTCACCTCTCATCCTTCTCTTCATTAGACTAGACATAACCAATTCCAGATTATATGGAATTCTCAGAGCAAAAGAATATGATGCTGGATGGTCACAACTGTCTGGCAAAAATTATCATTATCTGGAAATGTCCTAAAAGAAACATGTGTTTTAAGTTTCACGTACTGTAGATCTTGTGTACTGTCGATGGCCATTATCTTGCTCGGTTATGGAGACTGATGAAAAAGGTAAAACGCTATAGATAATGTGGTACTGTATTGAATTTTAAGCCTTGCAGAGCTTATGACCCACATTTTCTCCCTTAAAACCTCTAAAGGGAGGTTGGCCCAACCCTCCTATACTTTCCTAAGTACCTAAAGACCTAGCTCTGCCAATTAGCCTGGGGGCCCAAAGGGGGTTGATTGAGTAACAACAGATCCCACCTGCCCCCATTCCACCCTTGCCCTTCCCACATGTTCTTAGATTTTAATATTTGTTTTTCATTTATTTATGTTTTAATATAGATATATTTTAGGACTGTAAGCTGCCCAGAGGTCCTTATGGTAAGATGGGTGGCCAATAAATTAAATTAAATTAAAAAATTAAATTAAATTATAGGAGAAATCAACCTAGCCTGAAAAGTCCAGGCTTTTTAAGACATATTGTGAGTGCTTAAGATACTCATTTTAATCATTAATGCCATTAATAAAATTGCCAGGTCCATCTTTCCTGAGTAGGCTATAGGAGCCACAAATGGGATAACTGAGGAACAATGCCTACTTTCCATCAACAGTTGGCTATGTGTTGCACAAGCCTGCTGTAAATAATAATAATACATGGAATCCAATGGTACATTAAGTGTTTTCATGGTGGAATAGAAGGAATTGATTCAAGATTTCGGCAGCATGCAGATTCCTTTCAGTTCTACTCAAGGGGGAGAGAGAAAAGACAGTGAAAGGGTTTCTGTTACACAGACTACAGTATTACCCTTAAAATGTTGGATTCATTTAATTAAGAAATGTTAAGTAGTCAGAGTTTCAGTATTGATTGTGTGCTTCTGAATAAAGTATGGCTGTGGATTCATATCACTTTTCCATATACTGATGGCCACTAATGTTTTCTGGCCTGCCTATGTCATTGAATATGTTTGCATGATGACTATATTGAGGAGATTAAATGAGAACGTATGCAAGATTTCCAAAATGGTAAGAGATTTTGGTATTCATATGCAAAGTCTTAATCATTTATTACTTTGTGGTACCTATGACAGCCTGTCTTATATTTGTTAAAAGGCCAGTGTGACTTCCTGATCAGGATGGCTTGATTCAAATTTGAAGTTATATTTCCTCATTTAACTCTCAAGTTTTACAACATCCTGAAGTTGGCATATAAGCCATGCTGACCACATGACCATGAAAAATGTCTTCAGACAACTCTGGCTCCCTCAGCCAAGAAACGGAGATGAGCATCATTGTAGCAAACAGTTTGAGTTATGACAATATGTGTGTTTTTGAGTTTCGGATGATGAGGTAATGGGAGTGAATACATTTAAGTTACTTGGATTAAACAAAGAGGCCTTAGAATTTGTTTTGTTGAGCTGTTACTTTTTCAAGTGGCCTTGCTTGTCAGTACCTCTCCTTTTCTGAATCAGCTTTCTTTATGCCAAAGTGTTTATGGCTAAGCTCACAGTTTATCTGCCCTTGAGAATGTGCATTTAGAGATGCATACGGATGAATGCCTTTGAGAAAGTGAGGGAGGAACAGGATCTACTTGTCTACTGAAACACCATTTTTCCTTTCAGTCAAAGGTGTATTGTATCTAATTGATTTCTAGCTGAGTTACTGCTTTATTTTCTAGTTCAACTCATAAAACCGAACTATTCTGTAATAACAGGTGTCAAATTAAAGAGCTTAGGTTTGTTCTAATCTAAGGATATATATTCTAATTTGAGGTTCATTTAAAACATTACCTAAGATTCTTTAAAAATATGTTGGGTATTCTTTTTTCCGCTTCCATTTTTTCTGAGGGTGAGGGAGGGTATTCTTAGATTTTATAAGCCAAGAATCATGTGATCCCAAAAGATAATTCCTATTATCTCTGCCTTGAACTACTTCAAAGTGCTGGCAGACATGTTACGTTGTGAATTATGAATATAAATATTTGCCTGCTTCCTTTTCTTTATGTACATGCAGAAATCTATGGCTGAAAATCTAACTGCATATGTTCCAGCTTCATTTCTAATAGCATTTTAAAAATGTGTGTGGTTACATGCAGATGATGTAATTGGGTCTTTTATATTTATGCACATATATCACTATATATGGAAAGATTGTGCTTATAAGACCATTCATGATTTCATTCTTTGTATTACATCATTGAAAAACAAAGGAAATATTTAGTTTCCTAATAGATTACTTGTTTTTGGCAAATAAAACTGCAGTCAGTTGGAAATATGTCAAAAGCAGTAAGTCAGAGATAGGAGATTGTTGAAAGCAAATACAGTACTGTTGTTGTTCAATCACATGGAAATTGTTGAATATTCTGTAGTACTATCTGTTACCATTATGCCAAAAGAACATAATAGATGCCCCTAGGTTGGTTGAAAATCATTAGTATCAATTAGTTTCTTAAAAGAATAGTGATTTTTATTTGCATAAGTGATTAACATTGTAAAACATAAGTTTATACACAATTATTATTTCCTTAATGTTATTTTCAAAATCTAAGATAAAAGCATATACTAAAGATCCCCTGAATATGAGCAATAACTGTATGAGCTATTTATTAATTTATTTATGTTTTAGGAATGTAGTACACCCTGGCAGAACTGAGTAATATCTGCCCAGTTCCACATTTTTTCTGGGGAAATAACTGAGATTTCTCTGGAAATCGGCTGTGACTCACAGCTTCTTTGCATTGCCTTGGATGCTTTGTTTTCTAGTCAAATAAGCTTAATAGAAGATTTCATTTGATAATGAAACAGTCATTTTAAATCTCCCACAGGAAGGTTTGGATATTGATATTATTAACATATTGCTTGGAAATAATGGTTTTTCTTTTCTTTTCTCTTTTCTTTTTATGGATTTCCCAGTAATCCCAATATAGAATCCAAAAAATTATATGTGAATGGAGTACCATGAGTTACTTTCTCATCCTTTGTTTAGTTGATTATTTAATGCATGAATATTAATACATTTATTATATCTGTTTGCAGTATGACCAAAAAGACTTCAGTCGTTTGTGCTTCCAGAATAATTCATTTTCTTGCTGAGTTTATTTAAAATTACCAAAACTTTCTAAATGCTGTGCTATGCTTTGTTTTAGATAAAAAAATTATATGGAGTACTATCTACTCCATAATTGAATTATCACTAAATTTTTAGAAAAAGAAAACACATGGCATTGTTCTTTTTTTAATGGAAAGTTGGCAAGCAGAATACGATACAATAGAAGAGTATCTCTTTCCAGATTCTTGTATTTTTGAATTCCTTAATTTTATTATACAAGTCCTTCAAATTATTTATACACTAGTCTAGTATTTTTTTATTATTGATTATTATTATTATTATTATTATTATTATTTAATTTCTATACCGCCCTTCTCCCGCAGGACTCAGGGCGGTGCACAGCATATTAAAAACAGATACAATAACAATATACAAAAATAAAACCCTTCTAAAACCAAATTAAAAACCAAATATTAGAGGCTGTGTTCCAATTAAAATTATACTTAAAATCGTCCCTAAATAAA